GAGACGGGCGAGCAGGTAGAACGGAACAAAATGAAGCCGATGAAGAGGCAGATGCGGATAATGATGGCTGAGGTGAGAATGACTGGGGGACCAAAAAACGACGCACGCAAGCATATACGACGAGATAAGGGGGATGGATGAGCAAAGCCGCGGGAGTCATAAAACAAAGGACGGGCGATGTGGCAGAACGGACGAAAGAATGAAGGGCAGCTGATTGAAGGCCCAGGGACAGCGCGCGCGGGACGAGGAACTATGGAGGAACGCCAGAGGGGAACGGGAGGCAGGAGGAGCAACGGGAATTATAGCCAGGAGCCTGGGGCGGAACAAAGCAGAGGAATAGAGCCCTGCCTCCCAAAGGTTGCCTGCGAACATAAGGTTCCCCTGCGGGCCTCCGAGCGCGCAGTGCCCCCCCCCCCCCCCGCCCACCACCTCGCATTCCCCGTCTCGCCGTGCCGCATCGTCCGCCGACGAAAAACGGACGCACGCAACATGAACAAAAACTGCGGGATGTCCGCGCGCATAAATGGGGTTGCCGCCCTTTGCGCGGTCCACGCGCCAGAAAAAAAGAGGGGGGAAACGCCGACTGGAAAAATCCGAACGGAATTCCTGCTTGGAATGTGGTCCTGACTTCTTCCATTCGAGGCGGGGGGGCTCGGTGATCGAGGGAGGGCGCGCGAGACGCCTGCGTCCGTACAGTCTGTTCCTGCTGCTGCTGCTGCTGCTGCTGCTGCTGCTGCTGCTGCTGCTGTTCTTTCTGTTCATGCATATGCTGTCCGGTCGCCTGCAACCCGCCCCGTTGCCTTCCCTCCTTCCTCCTGGTGCCCGTGGCACACCAAGAAAGCCTTCGTGTTGCCAGAACTCCACTTCCGGGTGCGATTCTGAGCCTCGCGGCGGAAGCTCCCCACGGCCACGCAGCAGGAAAAGGACGAGGGTGGTCCTCGCGGGCGGCGTTGGGACGCAAAGGAAACGAGCGCGTCCGACTGGAACGGATCGGTAAACTTTTTTTTTTCGAATATGCATCTACACATACATCTATACATGCACAATCATGTAGTGCACTCATACATACATATATATGTACATACGAATTTGCACAGAGCATATGAAACGAAATGCAAATTATCTGTTTGGGTTCCCCATTCAGCGCTTGCACTGAACAAGTCCGAACGGAAATGGAAAGATTTGGCGAAAATGTCCCACCGATTTTGGTGGCCAGCTGGGTTCCTGGCCTCCTGGTGATCGGTTCAGGGCGACTTTCTGTGGGTTCCCGGGTTCCCAATCGATCTGCTTATCGATCAAACCATCCACTGATTGGGTTTTTCCCCATATCCTAAGATGGGGTTCTTGTTATTACTTGGACGCCTCCTACTCCTCCTTCCTCCTCCTCTTTTCTCCTCCCCTCCTGTCGGACATACTCAGACTTGCTCATACACAGACTTACTCATACTCAGACTTAGTCATACTCAGACCTACTCATACTCAGACTTCCTCACACTCAGGCATACTCATATACAGACTTACTCATACACAGACTTACTCATACACAGTATTAGTCATACCCAGACGTACACATACACAGACTTACTCATACACAGACTTACTCATACTCAGCACCCCTAAGGGGAGCCGCCAGGGGTGGTTGCACGGGCTCGTTCGCGGCCATTTTGTGGGGATGTCTCAGGCGGTTTGCCTGTTTCTGTGCCCAACATCCTTCGCTTTCGGAGCAGATTTGGAGGATGTCTCGAGCGAGGCGCTCATTTCAGCACCCCTAAGGGGAGCCGCCAGGGGTGGTTGCACGGGCTCGTTCGCGGCCATTTTGTGGGGATGTCTCAGGCGGTTTGCCTGTTTCTGTGCCCAACATCCTTCGCTTTCGGAGCAGATTTGGAGGATGTCTCGAGCGAGGCGCTCATTTCAGCACCCCTAAGGGGAGCCGCCAGGGGTGGTTGCACGGGCTCGTTCGCGGCCATTTTGTGGGGATGTCTCAGGCGGTTTGCCTGTTTCTGTGCCCAACATCCTTCGCTTTCGGAGCAGATTTGGAGGATGTCTCGAGCGAGGCGCTCATTTTCACCCCCCAGGTGGGCCAGATTTTGAGGATGTCTCGATCGGTTTGCTAGTTTTGGTGGCCAGGCTCGTGGGCGCAGATTCTTCTCAGGATGCCACAGGAGGCTCCAACAGGCTCCAGGAGGCTCCAGGAGACCACATGAGGTCCCAGGAGGCATCAGGAGGCCACAGAAAGACTCAAGAGGCCACAGGATGTCCCAAGAGGCTCCAGGAGGCCCCAGGAAGCTCCAGAAGGCCTCAGGAAACCACAGGAGACCCCAGGAGACAACAGGAAGCGCCAGGAGGCCTCGGAAGGCAACAGGAGGCCCCGAGAGGCCCCAGGAGCAGGAGGCCTCAGAAGGCAACAGGAGTGGCTCCAATCCCATGTGTTTTACGTATGCTCCTATCGATTGGGCCTCACCTGGAGCACGATTCTTTGATGTTCTACGTATGTTTCTATAGATGGTCCTTCTCCTGTGTACACAATCCTAAATGTTTTACTCATGTTCCTATGTATTGGGCCTCTCCTGGGGCACGAGTCCTTGGTGTTTTACGCGTGTTCCTATAGATTGCCCTTCTCCTGTGGCTCTAATCCGCAATGTTTTATGTACGTCTGTTGCTATAGATTGCGCCTCTCCTGGGGCACGAAACCTTCCTAGGAGGTCCCAGGAGGTCCCAAGAGGCTCCTGGAGACCCCAGGAAGCCCCAGTAGGTTTCAGGAGGCCCCAGGAGGCCCCAGGCTCATGCACAGAGACGCGCTCGTACTACTGAGGCTCATTCACACTCCAATTCATTCGCAGTTAGATTGATGTCCAGACCGTCACAACTGAAGCCCGTTAATATTCGAAAGCTCTTGCGCCTAGACATTCACGGCGGACAGGTCCATGCGAGTAGATGCACATATGGGGAGCTCCACGCAGTGAATAATTTCTCTGGTGTCATATCCTTAGGCAATTCAAATCGTTCTGAAGCAGCCCTCCCAGGAGTTTGCCTCCCTAGCTCCGACGCCGGCGCGTCCCCGTGGCGGACCTCCGAGGGGGGCCCTCCGAAGGGCCCCCGTCCGAAAGCTGCCCCCAGAGCCCCCCGAGCGGGCCACCGATGAGGACCTCTGAGAGAGCCTTTTCTGGGCCCCCCAGATGGGGTCGGAGTAGATTTCGGGTCGGGCGAACGGGGGGGAATGCAAAGGGGGGGTTTGAGAATCAGCTCACGTAGCTGATTTTCCCGGCGCCTCCCGGCGCCGGAGGCGGCCATGTATCGATTCCCAATCCCTTTCCCAATCCCCCCCTTTCGTCCGGCCCGAAGATTGGGGCTGCTCTCTGGTGAGATATGCCGCGTATGCCGCGTGAGCATCCCGGTGGCACAACCAGGGCTCCTGCGGCGAAGCTGTCGCTGTACGCGTCGGCCCCGTGGGGCCGGCGCACCCACCGGAGGCAGGTACGTCTGGGCGCCAGGCCCAGGCCTCCGACGTCGTGAACTGTCCCCCCACCCAGGGCTTCCGTGCTCGGCTTCCCGCGGGGCCGTAGGCGACCCGAGGAGGAGGAGGAAGAGGAGGAGGAGGAGGAGGAGCAGGAGGAGGAGGAGAAGGAGCAGGAGGAAGAGGAGGAGGAGGACGGGTCGCCTAAGCCCTTCGAAGAACCCCTCCAGGCTCTGGGCCCTAGAAAATGGAAACCATCATCATCATCATCATCATCATCATCATCAGCAGCAGCAGCAGCAGCAGCAGCAGCAGCAGCATCAGCACCAGCACCAGCACCAGCATCAGCACCAACACCATCATCAGCATCATCATGACCATCATCCTCTTCCTCCTCCTCCTCCTCCTCCTGCTTTGCTCCTCATCCGTGTCGTCCTACGCCCCCCCGCCCGCCCTCCGTCCCCCCCCCCTCCCCTCCCCGCTGCAACACTCTCCCCACCCCCCACCCCCTCCTGCTCATCATCCTCATCCTGTTCTGCCGCATGCTCCTCATCACCGTTCCCCCCCCTCTCTCCACCCGGCCCACTCCCTCCTCCCCGCGCGCCTGGAGCAGCAGCTCGAGGCGCGCGAAGGAGGCGTGGCGACGAGAGGCAGGGGACCCAGCAAGGACCACAACTCTCAAGAAGGGGCAGTCCTCAAACACCGAAAATCCTCCTGACTCCTCGTCCTCGTCCTCCTCTCTTCTCGAGCGTTGCACTATGGAGGAAGATGGACGCTAGGCCGGCAATGTCCTCCTACAGGTCGACTTGGGAGGGAATTTGAAAAATAGTTCAAAAATGCTCATTACTAAAACAACACATGTCCACATAATATTTCTGTTTGTCAGATGTTATATTTTTTCTCCTGTACCCGGGGGCGCGCAAACATAGATGAGCGATCTATGGATTTGGCGCGAGGTCGCCAAATCCATGGATCGGGGGAGGTGCCATCCCTAAAATGCGGCCATTGCCGCCTTGCCCGGCGGCGGAGGCAATTCGCGACTTCCTATGGAAACGGGGCCCGTCGCTAATCTACGCCCCCTTCATCCATGTTTGGGATCGCCTGAAAGGTAGTTCAAGATGCTCATTGAAAACAAAAATGTCCACAACTTATTTCTGCTTGTCATCTGTTTGAATCGTTCTCCTGTGCAGGGACATGCCCGACTCACAATGAACGGGTGGGCGAAGAAAGGCGCACCTCTCTGGCACCTTCGGGGCCCCAGAGGGGGCCCCCAGAAGGCCCCATCACAGGGCCCCCCTCCTGCCATCCCCAGCCAATTCCTCGATCCATCGCCTCCCCACACAACGGAACGCCCTACACCCTCGGGGATCGATTGATCCGGGTCCAGACCTGGGTCAGTCAGGCTGCGCAGGATCCTGCAAGATCCTGCAGGATCCTGCGCCCAAGCCCGGGTCAATGCACCACTGGCTCTGCAAGATCCTGCAAGATCCGGCGCTCTGACTGACCCCCGCTTGCATTGACCCTCTTCCCTTGAGCCCCGACCCCCCTACACCGAGGAGGCTCCGGGCACGCTGTTGGCGGGGTAGACGTAGTGGATACCGAAGTCCAGCTGCTGCTTCACAAAATTGAGGGTCCGCACGATGCGCTGGCCGCGCGCGCCGCGCAGAAGGTGGGTGCCAAGAGAACATATTCCAGAACATCAAAACGGGAAGGGGATAAACTGCCAGAAATCCGCGCGGCTTTTGGGTCGGCGCTGGACCGCCTCCCGGTCCCGCGGGGCGCGCCACGGCGCCGGAGGCGCCGCCAAGGGTATGCAGAGCCGACTGCCGATCCAAAAAAGGAGCACCACGCCTTCGTTGTTCCCATCGTGCATCGTGCTTAAGGACCACATCCAAGAGACAATTTCGAGCACACAGAGTAGTATCAAAAGAGTCTCGAGCAAGTATCGCCTCCCAGGCCCGACACGTGAAAAACCACCGGATTCGGTGCTTTCAGGTGCTCGAAACTCTTTCGGGTTGGGACATCATGACACACGCTCGCATCCACTTCGTGGTCTGATGACCCCAACGACACACACACACACACACACACACACACACACCCGACGGCGGCACCCGGGGGAAACCCCGGCAGGGGAGGCGCCGGGACGGGAGGTGGAGACTTTGACGGCCTCCGACGCTGGCGCGCGAGCGTGGGCCATCCCTCGATGGAGGGCAAACAGTCCCACCCCCATAATAATAACCACCCCGACACGCGAAGTCGTGTACTAACAGGGCAAGGCTGTTTCGTAAACGCCCAAAGCCGTTTTAGGAAAAACGCCAATGCTTTGGTCCGGGTGGCTTTTCCTCCCTGGGCCCAAGATCCGGAGGCGCCCATTCCGCAAGTCTGCCCCGCCCACGCGGTGGTCGGGAGTGGGGGGGGTCATCTTGGGGCTACGCTGGTCAGGTCGTCCAGGAGGCTGCTGCCAAGAGGCGGCCAGAGAAGCAGGACGAGCTCGTCGTGCCAGGCCCGGAGGAGGCGTCCAGGCGGCGAGGATGAGAGAGAGGAGCGCAGGGGGCAGAAGATCCGCCACCAAAAGAATCCCCCCGGCAAGCGAAGCCATCTAGTAAACGCACCCGAGGAAGGAATCGGACAGGGCAGGGCTGCTCAGAATACGCCCAGGGCCGTTCAGTACACGTGGATTGTCGGGCCCGGGAAACTTTTCCGCCGCCGAGAGAGGGAGGACGATGAGGCGGGGGCCGCCGCTGGGGCCTCCATGGACGACCTCCGAAAGCACCACTGCGGGGGCGGAGCGCGGCGTCACCATCGTGCCGTCCTCCCGTGCGCCACTCCATCCTCGATCGGGGAGACGTAAGACTTGGCTTCGGGGGACCTCGGGCTGGCCCGACGGGGCCACCGCGAGACGGACGAGACCCAGCCTGAAATCTGACGCGAGCCACCGCTGCAAACATCCCACGCAAACGGGACCGTCAAAGTCCAGAACGCGCTCGTCAGAAGCGTCGGCAAACCCGAGTCCCGGCTTACTTCAGTATCGTTTAACCAATCCCCATCCCCATCCCAGCCCCTTCGAGACCCCCACCAAATTACCCCCCCAGTTGGGGATGCATCCCTCGAATCCCGAAGGATACGGCCCATATCCCCATCTAGGGGGGTAAGTCGGCCAGTGCGGCCCAGGCCACGCCGCTGGGGATGGGGATCGGTTAAACGACACTCACTAACTCGAGTCTTACCTCTCCCAACATGAGTGGAAGAAGGACGAAGCGGAGGCCGCCGCGCAGGCCTCCGTGGACGAGCTCCGAGGGCAACCGCTGTGGGGACGACGCTGGGCGAGCTCCGAGGGCCACCGCTGCGGGGGCGAAGCTGGGCGAGTCCTGAGGGCACCGCTGCGGGGGCCAACCACGGCAGCACAGTCGTGCCGTCCTTTCGTGAGCCCCTTCATCCTCGAGTAGAGGGAAGGAAATCCACCCCCTGATAATCACCCCGACAGGCGAAGCCGTTCAGTAAACGCACCCGAGGAAGGCATCGAACAGGGCAAGGCTGTTCAATGAAAGCCCGAGGCCTTTTGCCAATTATCGGGTCCGGTTGGTTCTTCTGCCCTCGAGAGAGGGAGGAGAGGGAGGAGAGGGGGGAGGAGAGGGAGGAAATGGAGGAGAGGGAGGAGGATGAAGCGGAGGGCCGCCGTGAAGGCCTCCGTGGAAAAGCTCTGAGGGCACCGCGGTGGGGGCCAAAGCTGGACGAGCTCGGAGAGGGCACCCTTTGCGGGGGCGGAGCGCGGCGGCACAGTCGTGCCGTGGGCCCCTTCACCCTCGAGTGCGAGGCGCGGATGTGTCCACGTCCTACCGCCCGGCAAACGACGTGTCCTGGTGCCACAGCGGGCGGGGGCTGTGGAAACGTGTTGGCCCCCCGGGGGCCGGAACGTGTCCACGTCCACCGCGGGCCGAGGTCCCCGGACATGGATCTTCCGGCGAAGGTCGTGCATACGTGAGCAGGGACCGACCGTCCCGGCATTCCTATACTCATACCACGAAATATTCTTGGAACCACAAAATGTTCTGAGAACAAGAACCATGTTCTTAGAACATAAACCCGATGTGATAAAACAAGGCAGTCCCAGCCAGAAATGTTCTCAGAGCATGTCGTGGGAAAGTCACATGGTTCTTAGAACATTGTTTGGTAGGGCTATAGGCGAGCCAGGACGCTTCGCCACTGCTTGGTATACGTTCCCGCCTCGGACCCACCTTCGTCGCGCAACGGTCGGGGAGCGAGCGACACCCGCCCACAAAGCACCGGCAGACTCGTCGGTACTGGGCGCAGGCGCTCGGCCGCACGCGCGCACCGTCCGTACAGCGCCCACGGTGGCCTGCCCTCCCTCTCCGTGTCCCTCCCTCCCTCCCTTCCTCCTCCCTTGCTTCCCTCCCTCCCTGCCCCTCTCTGCTTCCCTCCCTGCCCTCCTCCTGCCCCCCTCCCTTCCTCCCTCCCCGCTGCAATGCCGAGTCCGACTGACCTGCCCCCTTTTCCTCTTGCAGGGAAGAGGGGCGGGGGCACAGCCGGGGGCAGGATGGAGGGCAAGGGAAGAGAGGAGGGAGCAGGAGGAGCAGGCGCAGGAGGGAGGGAGGGAGGATCGAAGGAGGGAGGGAGGAGGAGGAGGAGGAGGAGGAGGAGGAGGAGGAGGAGGATCGACGGAGGAGGGATGGAGGAGGGAGAACAGATCGAAGGGGGGGGAGCGAAGGAGGAGGGAGGGAGGGAGCGGGATGGAGAATCGCAGGAGGGGGGGAGGGAGGGAGGAGGGAGGGAGGGAGGAGGGAGAGAGGGAGAATCGAAAGAGGGAGGGAGGGAGCGGGATGGAGAATCGAAGGAGGGGGGGGGGGAGGGCAGATGCCGAAAACGGGGCAGAAAGAGCGCCCGGGAGAAGAAGCGGGCAACGAACCCGCCAGGCGTCAGGGGCTCTCGCGTGGCGGGGGCGCGCGCGCAAGGCGGAGGGCAGACACGCGGACAGAACGGCACAACCAGAACCGCTTGACCGTCGGGCTCCCTGGATTCGGGCGCTGCTGACTGGGTGGACCCTCCTGCTCCTCCTGCTCCTCCTCCTCTTCCTCCTCCTGTTCCTCCTCCTCCTCCTCCTCCTCCTCATCCTCCTCCTCTTCCTCCCTCCCTTCCTCCCTCCCTCTGTCTCTGCAGCCCCCCCTCTCGGGAAACCCAGCCAGCTGGGGGGGGTCCTTACGGGCTTGACGACTTTTCTCCAGTCGACTTATGAGGACCAAGCCGGACCAATCAGGGTAATTGAAAAGGCAAACCCAGGCAAATCAAAGTAAATCCAAGTCATCTGGAGATCACAAGAGAAATCTGGAGCAAATCGTGGCCCCTCCAGCGCGAATCGAGGGACGGCAGAAATCGTTGAGCTCTTACCGTGGGTGTAGAAATGCGCATCTTTCGCGCACCTTCTGGGCCCCAGGCGCCAGGGGTGCCGCTGAGTGCCCCGAGAATGCACGAAAGGTGCACGCCTATTCAGCCCCACCGCAAGATTTCGGTGGCGAGCCCGGGGGAAAAGTGAGAAAGGGCGGGCCTTCTCGAAAGGCACAGAAGTCACCCGTGCCTTCTGACAAACGCTCTGAGCCTTCCCCGAAGACACGGAACACCTCGCAGCAGCCGCGAGGGCTTCTGAGGCGTCCGGCCGCCTCCTGAGCAGGTCTTCTCTTTCTCGCTCGCCCCCCTCGCTCGCCGCCGAACTTCGGAACGGCGCTGGGCCCCCCCCCCCCCGGGCCAGACCTGGCCAGACTTGTCGAGCCGCGCCCAGGGCCTCGGCGACTGGTCCCCCCCCCTTGCAGGGCAGAACAGGTTTTCGCGCAGGCTTCTCGCCTCGGCGCTGGCTCCCCTCCGCTCGTGGGCGAAAGACATATCCATGGCGACGATTATGTTGCCCCCGTCGGTACTTAAAGACCACATCCCAGAAATTTGGTCGAGCGCCCGGATAAGTGTCGAAACAGTGTCGAAGCAGTGTCGGACGAGTGTCTCCCAGGGCCCGACACGTGAAAACCACTGAGCTTCGGCACCAAAATGGGGTCTCGAAATTCTTTCTCGTGACCAGAGCTAAAGTAGGTTGGAACATCGTAAGGCGACGAGCGAGGTGGGGAAATGAGAAGGAAAAGGCCTTCTCAGAGGGCGCGGCGCTTCTCAGAATCGCTCTGGCCATCAGTGAAGTAGGCCCGGGGGACGTCCGAGCCTCCTGAGAAGGCCCGCCTCTTCTCACTTCCCTCCTGGTCTCGCCGCCGATATCCGCATCCACGGCCTCGCAGGCCAAACCCCTGGACTGCGACCCCGTGGATACCGGGCGTTTCGTGGCGGTTGCCTCACGCGGAACGCATACATGCGGCCACGTATCTACGGGGTCGCGGATCGGAGGCGTGGATACGGATACGTTCGCCGCTCGTGGTCCATGGCGCGAAGAGGACGCCAGGGGAGCGGCGCCGCCAGGGAAGTCCTGCGCAGATCCCACACATCCGCGCGGACGTTTGCGACTTGAATCCCGTGAAAATGTGTTGCTCGCGGGGGGGCTCCTGTCTCACGTCCCACTCCGAGAGCGCCCCGGCGCCGCCGAACCACCTCTGCCGGAACGGCTGGGTGTGGTACCTGCCAGCATGGGGGTGGGGCACCATCCTCCCCTTCCCCCCTCCTCGACACGGAAGTGTCGCTCTTCGCAATGCACTGGCCTTAGATTGAAGAGCAGCGTGGCGGAGATGTGCAGAGCCCTCTATATCCTCCGCCTCCTCCTCCTCCGCTGCGCCTCCTCCTCCTCCTCCTCCCTCCTCCAGCTCCTCCCTCCTCCTCCTCCTCCTCCTCCTCCTCCTCCTCCTCCTCCTCCCTCCTCCTCCAACTCCTCCTCCTCCTCCTCCTCCTCCTCCTCCTCGGTTTCTCGGTTTCTCGGTTTTTCCGCAGTGGTCTCCCCAGCGCGCCCTGCGCCCGGTGGGCGCTCCGTCCGCGGGCCAGGCGGGGGGGGCGCGGGGAGGCCGCACCTGGCAGGGGCACAGGCCAGAGTCTTTCATCCGCCAACCGCTTCCAGGTGCTCAGCGCCGCCCTGCACAGCGTACCAGCGCCCAGCCTACATACTTGATCCAGTCGGCGGTCGCTTCCGGGCCAAGTAGGGCCAGGTTCGCCGCCTGCTGCGTCGTAGGCGCCCCGCCGTCGATGGATGCCCACAGCTGGCGTCGTGACGCCGAGGTGTGCCCGCACGCATGCAATGCATGGGAGACGTCCACCTCTGTGCTGGGACATGCACCACAGCGCGGCAGAACCAGCGGCGCGTCCCCCCCACCTAGGACTGGCAGCGGCCAGCGGCCAGTCACCCTGCATACTGCCCAGAGCCTATAGTTCAGATTTCCTCCATGATCTTCAAACATGTCTTGCTGCGTGCCTCGCTGCATGGCCGGCATGAAGCTGCGAAACGGTAGCCCCAGACATGGCAGTGGACGGTCAGCCGCCGCATCTACCGATGGCTGGTCATAGGCGCGCAGGGCTGGCAGTGCCACCTCTTGGCGGCACCGCCGTAGCAGCGACCTTCGGGATGCTGGCGAAGACCGGGCTGCGACCACCTCCTCTGTGAACCCCTCATTGGCGCTGATGTCCCGAATGGGCCCGTTCGGCATGCTGGCCATGAGCTGGCCAGCCGCACGCCACCAGGAGGGCGCCGGCGACTGGCGCGCGGCATCCCGCATCGCCGTCGCCGGGTGTCCCTCCGGGAGGACCCAGAGCCTGGCGCGTGCCATGACCACCTGCAGGATCATGAGCGTTCCAAGCCTCAGGTCCCACTGGCACTGAAGGCGCGAGAGGGCCCACTTCAGCCGCGGGCCACGTCTGTAGCCCAAGGTGGCCCTGGCCCAGTACGCTTGCAAACTATTGAGATCACTCTCAATGTTGGGCACGGCGGCCAGCACAGCAGCACCTGCCAGCACTGCGGGAACAATTCTGATCAACACCTGGGCAGCTAGGACACGAACCGGAAACCCGCCCGCCTCCGCTGCTTGGTAAAGCTCATCGAACAAGGAGCGCCCCATGGCCATGGTAGCTTTCGCGTGGGGGGCGAAGGACAGCTCCGCGTCAAGGGTGATACCCAGCATCTTGTGCGTCAGCACGAGGTCGAATCCCATGCCAGTGGAATCGAACATGGGGCTGCCGTGTACCGCCAGGCATTCGGCTTTCCCGGGGCCGAAAGTGAAGGCAGCCTTATGCCTCGCAGCATGAATCACCGTGGCTGAAATAATTGGACTGGGCCTGGATGGCCCGGGTCGGCCCAATCCGTCGGGCAGGCCCTCGCCGCCTCACGTCGACGCAGCGGCGTCCAGAGCTCATCGGCGCCGCACTCGCTCCTACTCCCCCTCCTTCAGTCCTCGTCCCCCGCCTTCCGCCTCCTGCCTCCGCCCTCCTCCTCACCCTCCGCTCCCTCCTCCGCCTCCTCATTCTCCTCTCCGCCCCTCCTCCTCCTCCTCCTCCTCCTCCTCCTCCTCCTCCTCCTCCTCCTCTCCGCCGGAACGCCGCCGACCTGGGCTAAAGGCACATTCCCCTCGCGCGGGAAGGAGAGTCTCCCGGATGCCAGAAGTCCCACCCCCCCGCGCGCGGGAAGGAGAGCGTCTCGACTGCCAGAGTGGATCCTAGATGGGGTCCGAGTAGATGGGGTCCGAGGATCTCGCCGCATCGGCGATGCATTGGCGACTCCGGCGTGAAGAAAATCGGGCTCGACATCGAGCCGCATCGCCGATGCATCCGGCGATGTGGCGGGATCCTCCGGCCCCATCTACTCCGACCCCATCTAGGAGGCCTAGAGGAGCACCCCACCCCACCCGCGCGTGGGAAGGAGAGAGTCTCGAGTGCCCGGGGGGGGGGGGTCGGCCTCCCCCGCTCCCCCCCTTTCGTGTGCCCGGGAAGGAGGGCCCTTCCTTCCTTGGCGGCGCGCAAAGGGGGGTAGGGGGGGAGGGGGAAGGCGTCTTAGAAGGAGGCTGCTTCTTGGAAGGCGACGGCTCTACATCTGCAGAGAGGGCCTGGGCCTTCTGAGAAGCAGGGGTGCTTCTAGGAAGCCTCCCTCCCTCCCCCTGCCCCACGGTGCGCGCCGCCAACTTCCTGCCTCCCCCCCCCGCCCCAGCGTCGCCTTCGTTGGACGTCGCTCGATCCGCGCTTTTCGCGACAGGGTGGCTTGCGACGCTGGGAGTTCAAAAAGACCCCTGGACCCCTCCCCGGGTCCAAGCGCACCAATTTTCCGCGCTGCGTCCAGACGTGGCGACGAGGGGCCCCCGAGGGCCAACTGCGTCTCCAACGGCCCTCCTCAGAGCTCACTGCTGTACTAAATTAAGCCGGGTCTGTACAGGCGGATCTTGGGCAAAACATTAAACATACTCCAAGACTGCCCTAAACTGGGCAAAACTGGCCGGCCCAGCGGGCCAGAGGCGTGCTAAGGTCTCTGGCAACTACTTAACAGTATGTCTAGTTCGGGCGCGCGGGGCGGCCCCTGGGGGGCCCCGGACGAAAAGTACCCCGGCTGACCCCTGTCCGGCTCCTGGGCGATCCCCAGGACGGAGGCTACTTTTCGCGACCGCTCACGAGGATCGTGGCCTCCGAGGGGGGGGGGCTGCAATCGACTACCCCCCCTCCCGCCCCAAGGGGCCCCCAAGAGCCCCCCAAGAGGCCCCAGGGGAGCCCAATACGCCGCCAAGGAGCCCCAAGACGCTCCCAAGAAGCCCCCACAGAGCCCCCAAGACGGCCCCAGAGAGGCCCCAGATGGCGCTCCTGGGCCGGCAGCATGAGCGAAGCGCTTACATAAGATTCAAGCAACCGTCCCCAGACTATTCTTTTACTATCTTCTTATACTCCTCCTGCAGGCGGCTCTTGGGCGGATCTTGGGCGGATCTTGGGCGAAAAACTGAACATGCTCCAACACTGCCCTAAACTGGGCAAAACAAGATTCAAACAATCGCCGCCAGACTATTACTTTACTATCTGTTTGTATTCCTCCTGCAGGAGGGGCAGGCCCGACACAACGCTGCACCGAAACCCGCGGCCTGCCGGCCGGCAGCGGTGCCCCGGGCGGCGGTGGGCCCGCCAGCGCGCCGCCCAGCAGCGGCAGCAGCGCCGCAGCCGCCGCCGCGTGCTGGCCGCCCTCGCAGGCGCGGAGGGCCGCCACGCGCCCGACCTGGAGGAGGGGGGAGGAGGGGGGAGGAGGAGGAGGAGGAGGAGGGAGGAGGAGGAGGAGGAGGTGGAGGAGGAGGAGGAGGAGGAGGAGGAGGAGGAGGAGGGGAGGAGGAGGAGGGAGGAGGAGGAGGGGAGGAGAGAGAGGGAGATGAGGAGGAGGAGGAGGAGGAGGAGGAGGAGGAGATGAGGAGGAGGAGGAGGGGAGGAGGAGGAGGAGGAGGAGGAGCGGAGGAGGAGGAGGAGGAGGAGGAGGAGGAAGGGGAGGAGGAGGAGGAGGAGGAGGAGGAGGAGGAGGAGGAGGAGGAGGAGGGGGGGGTAGGCGGGCCCAACGCGGGAACACATTGCGGGGGCATCCAGGACGCGCGACGGCGGCGCATATGCGCCGTGCGCTGACCCAGGAGGCGCAGGCCGTTCCGTACACGCACCCACGGAAGAGATCGAACGGGGCAGGGCTGTTCGGTAAGCGCCCAGGGCCGCTCAGTGCACCCCGACTGCTCCGGCCCGGGCGGTGTTCCCTCACTCGACGACCGCGTCCGGCACGCCGCGGGCGCCGGCGAGGAGCAGCAGGGTTCGGTGGCAACTCACGGGAGACTTCCATACCCCCTTTTTGTCGGCTCTGGCGAATCGACGCGGGATCGACGCCAGATCGACGCTGGATCGACGCCAAGTCGGCGCTAGTCGCCGCCACATCGGCGCGATCTCATCGACTCCCAGACGCCAATCGACGCTGGTCGACGTTGAATCGAACTCAAATTGGCGCGATCTCGTCGATTCCCAGACGCTAACCGACGTTAATCGACGCTAACGACGGAATTGAGAGGGCACAGTCAACCTGTATGATAAGGATGCGCGATAAGGATGCAATGCCGACACTCTGCCAGCGGGGCGCGGCCAGCGGAAGCGGGCAAGGATGGGCCGAAAGGGGGAAGGATGCAAGGATACCCTGGGACAAGCCGCTCATCCACACTGTGCGGGTCGACTGTATGCCAGGCTCCCATGACTTGCTACCGAAGCAGGGCCGACGCCCAGCGCGCGGCCCGCTCGCAGGCGGCCAGCGCCGCGTTGCAGCTGAGCGCGTTGGGCGCCAGCCGGCGGCGGCGCATCTGCGCCAGGAGCGCGACGGCGCCGCGCCAGAGACCGCCCTTCTCGCACGCGGAGATGGCCACGCTGAAGCCCACCACGCCAGGGCACAGGCACGCCGCCTTGGGGGGGGGGGGTCACCTCCTCCTCCTCCTCCTCCTCGTCCTCGTCCTCCTCGTCCTCGTCCTCCTGCTCCTCCTCCAACCCATAACCCTTTGGGAGGGGACACGAGTCAGAAGGCCGAAAACATTGGGGATAGGGGGTCGTTCTCTGCAGCTGTCGCAGACCAAGGCGCCCAGAAGCATGCGCCAGCATGCCAAGACGGGGACCTCAGTGAGGCCACGTCTTCGCTGCACGATCAGGGCTGGGGGCTCGTTGATTCCGAATGAGCCTGCATCTCAAGCACCAGGTCAAGTGCCCTGCTCCACTGCGCGCCTCGCTCGCACGCCGCCGCGGCCGCGGCGCAGCAGACCGCGTCCGGGCGCAGGCCGCTGCTGAGCATCTGCGCCAGCAGCACCAGCGTCCGAGGCCACTCGCCACTTCGGCCGCAGGCGCCGATGGCGGCCGTGAAGCTGACAACGTTCGGCGCCGTGCGGCCGCTGGCCATGGACCCGAGAAGCGCCAGCGCCAGCGGCCAGCGCGCCGCCTTCTCCATCGCGCTGAGCGCCACGCTGAAGAGCATCACGTCCGGCCGCAGCCGCGCCGCTGCCGCGGCGGCCAGCAGCGCCAGGGCGCCGGACCAGGCGGCCGCCCGCTCGCAGGCGGCCGCGGCGGAGGTCAGCGCCGCCAGCCCCGGCGCGAGCGCTCGCCCCCGAAGGCTGCCGAGCAGCTGCAGCGCATCCCGCCAGCGTCCCGCGCGCCCGAGCGCCACCGCCGCCGCGGAGTAGCCGCCCGGCGAGCCGGCGTCGAGGGACCTCTCGAAGAGGGCCACCGCCTCTGGAGCGACAGACAAGAAGGGAAGGACACCGCTGATCCTCGAACCCCTCTCCGAACCTCTCAGTCTCCCAGGGCGCGTTCCGACCAGGATTTCGGGGCGAAGGCCTCCCGGGAGGCCCAAAGAGGCGAAAACGAGGCAAGGGCAGCGGCATGGGTACTTGCCTTGTCCTCCTCGGGGCCTCGGCCCACCTCGCGCCGGCGGGCCCCCTGCCAGCATGGCCATCGGGGCCCCGTGGCGGCCGCACCAGCAGCGGCGGGGTCCTGCCGACGCTCGGCAGCGACATCGGAGGCCGGCCCGCAGCGCGGCGAGCGAGGCCGCTGTGCCGCCGAGACGAGGCTTAAGTCGGGCGCGTCCCTCTACAAGAAGAAGATTCAGAAATAGTCAGACAATAGTCTCGGGAAGATGTTTTGAGTATTGTTACGTTTCATATGGTTCGGGTATGTTTGACCTGCTGATCCAAACTTCGCCTGTAGGAGGGCACGCCCGACCTGAGACGAGGCTGCCCCCTCTTGGGCCGCGCTGTGCCGGGATGCCCAGTCGCGCAAGAGGGCTCGGCGGAGCTCTGCTCACGGCTGCCCTTCTGAGCCCGTTTGGCGCCTGACCCCATCCGAATGGACTCGCGGCCGAGCCCACTCGTCGGCCGAGCCGGCTCCACTTGCCTCGACCCTGTCAGAGCTGCGCCCGCTCGGCTGCCCGTTCGGGGGCCGAGCGGGCCCGGACGCCGAACGGGCACAGAAGGGAACGGTGGCGTGGCATGGGCTGAAAAAGAGGAGGAGGAGGAGGAGGAGGAGGAGGAGGAGGAGGATAAGGAGGACAAGGAGGAGAGAGGAGTCAGGAGGTATGAGGCAGCAGGGAGGAGGCAGGAGGAGGATGTACTGCGCTGCACAACTCTGCAATCTTGGACCACAGAAATTCGGTAAGATGCTGATGACGTGAGCGTTGCAGCTCGCGGCCAGACCAATGCAAGAAGAACCATAATCGCCGATGTGATCGCACTTCCGTCGAGATCACCCAAGGCAGGCAATTCCACACCGCCCTGCACAGCTGGGCGCGCGCGGGGCGGCACTGGGAAGCAGATGAGAAGTCAGCGGGCAGCAGTCCCGGGAGAAGACCTGCGCACAGAACAAGGCGCCGACATCTACACATCTCCACCGCTCCCCGGCCAGGCCCGTCCTGAACCCCGCAGCGGTGCGTCCGCCGCGCCCTCCTGGCTTGGTCCAGGAGGGCGTACACGCAGCCCCTTGGCCCAGGAACGGCCCGGCCAGAGTTCTGCGGATCTGTACCGATGCTGCCGCCCGACAAGGCACTGCCCCGCCGCAGAGGAGGGCGGCTGCGTGCACGAGAACAAGCGTGCCAGGCTGCACTGCCCCATTGCGTCGCACGAGCCTCCCCCTCTCGGGAGCCTCGGGGTGCAGACCACGGCATCCCGAGGCACCTCCTGCTCCGAGTGCACCCTCCTCCTCCCGCCCCCCTCCGCGGCCGCTTCTGCTCCCTCGCCCGCGCCTCTGCTTTGCCTGCTGTCAGCGCCCTATCAGAAGGAACGCCAAAAGAAGGAACGAAGGGGGTTTTCTGCTCACGGCGAGCCTCGGCTTCGAATCGGCCCCTGATCTAGCTCTGAAGAACGGTCCGAAAACTGTTGCCCCGCCTGAGCCCAAAGTGGTCCTTATTTCAATGTCTTGACTGCGCATGTGCTCGCGAATCCGTAAAACAATTGCGGCTTCGACCGCGGTGCGATCGCCCCACTGCCAAAGGTCCAAAGGAACGCGGCCCGACCCTAGATAGGCTGAGCACTGCGTGGCGTTGCTTTGCATTGGTTAGCGATGCCTGGCAGTACTTGGTGTGTCTTAGCGTTGCTCGGCGTTGCTTTGCGCTGCATGGCATGGCGTGGCGCTGCTCGACATTGCTTGACATTGCTTGGCGATGCTGGGCGTTGCATGGAATGTTTTAGCTTTGCTTGGCGTTGCATGGCGTGACTTGGCAGTGTTTCGCATTGATTTGCGTTGTTTGGCATCGCTTGCCATTGACTGCGTGGCGTTGCTTGCTTTGCACTGCGTTGCTTTGCGATGCTTGACGATGTTAGGCGTTATATGTGATTGCGTGGTGTTGCTTGCTCTGGATTGCAATGCGTGACGTTGATTTGCATTGCTTGGCGCTGCTTGGCGTCGCTTGACATTGCTTGGCGTTGCACGGCATTGCTTGGCGTTGCTTGGCATCGCTTGGCATTGCTTGACTTGTCTTGGCATTGCTTGACGTTGCTTCGCGTTGCGTGGTGCTACTTGGCGTTGCTTGGCATTGCTTGGCGTTACTTGGTGTTGCTTGGTGCTGCTGGATTTTGCTTGGTAGGGGACCAGGTCAAGCAACCCCGAGGAATGCAGTACAAACACAAGACTTCGGTGGCAACTCATGGGATCCTCCCATACAATCGTGAGGGCTCTGACGAATCGACTCGAACCGACGCGAACTGAATCGGTTCCGGATCGACGCTACGTAGGCGCTTTCTGATAGATTGCGTTAGCGTGTGCTAATGCACTCTACCGACGGATTTGCGAGGACAAAGAAGGCTCCCATGTTTATTTCCGAGCAAGACCAATCAACCAGAGGAAGGCCGATTCAAGCACGAAAAGGAAACACGACCAAACAACCCGAGGAACGCCTCAAACGCTGCACAGAAAACAAGACCTAGCAACCCCAAGCAACGCGAGGACTGCAGACAGTAAGGAATCCAAACCAATCCCGAGGAACGCAACCCAAAGAAACAAGACCAAGCAACCCCGAACATTGCTGGCCAGCAAGCCTGGTCAGGCCGGTTTGGACGGGGGGGGGATCAAATCCATCATCCGCACACTTGGAGCCTCAGGAGGCCCCAAAAAGGGCGAAAAAAGGTTCCAAAGGTTCCCAGGACGGTCCCAAAGAACTTCAAATCGACGAAAGATCGCCCCAAAACGCCGAACACTGCCTCCACACGGCTCCAGAAGTCCCCAAGACGTTTGAAAGAATAATGCGAGGCGCCCCGAAGAGGGCCTCCAGAAGCAAGAACCGTCCCATTTCCTATAGGAAACGTACATTTTCACTACATTCGCCCATTCGGCTTCCACGCGGCGCAAAGCGGCCCAAGAAGTCTCCAAGATCGACCCTCGCCAGCCCAAGAGGCTCCCAGAAAGGCGCCAAGACGGCGTCCGGGCGATCCACGAAGTCCCCAGAAACCATAGCAACGGCTTAGGAAGTCCAAGACGTTTGAAAACGCGACCGCGAGGCGCTCCAAGAAGGCCTCCAAAAGCAAAAACCGTCCCATTCCCCAGGTAAATCGCACATGTTCAGCACATTCGCTTCGTGGGCTTTCACGAGGCCCAGAACGGCCCAATGAACCTCCAAGATCGACCCCTGTCACCCGAAGAGGCTCCGAAGAAGGCTCCAAGACGGCTTCCAGGCGATCCACGAGAGCTCCAGAAACCATATCAACGGCCCAGGAAAGCCGCAGGATGGTCCCAAGAGGGATCCAAAACGGGCCAAGCGGGCTCCCAAAGGCTGTCCGGACGGCCCACGCGGGGGACGATTCGGTCCAAACCGCCCAAGATTGCCTCTAGACAGCCCCACGGGCGCCCAAGACGTTCGCATACGCGACCTCGAAGCGCTCCTGCTTGAACCGTCCCATTCCCTAGGGAAAACGTACATTTGCAGCATATTCGCTTCTTGGGCTTGCACGAGGCCCACAACGGCCCAGTAAACCTCCAAGATCGACCTCTGGCACCCCAAGAGAATCTCCAAAAGGCTCCACGACGGCCTCTGGGCGCCCCCAAGAAACCATAGCAACGGCCCGGGGGAACGGCAGGCCGGTCCTAAGAGAGCTCCAAAACGTGTTTAGAGTGGCCTCACAGGCTGTCCGGACAGGCCACGCGGGGGACGATTGCTGCCGCCCCGAGGGGTCGGCGGTGTGGCGTAAGCCAATGAATACAACCTATTCCGCAAATGGTTCAACAATTGTCAACTGTGGTAGAAAAATCGTCCCCGGACTACCATTTCACAATGCTTGAATGTTTCCCCTGTAGAGGGCGAGGCCCGACGGAACCCCGAGCAGGCGTTCCTGCCCGCAGGCTTCGGGTCGCACGCTCGAGCCGAGGGTGGTAAGAGCAGCCCCATGCGCGCCCTCACGAGGCGGGGGGGCGCTGCCCCTCGGCTCGCGGACTGTCTTGTGCCCCGCGCGACACCCGCCCGCCGCGCTCCCCGCGGCGGCCACGGCCGCGGCGCTGCCCCGCTGGTGCCTCTCGTGCGCCGCTCCTGGCGAAGGTTTGGGGAGACGTAGAACTCGGGCACGGGGACTCGGGTTGGCCTGACGGGGCCATCGTACGAATGTCGGGTCGGGCGAAAGGGGGGGATAGCAAAGGGGGGGTTTGAGAATCAGCTCACGTAGCTGATTTTCCCGGCGCCTCCCGGCGCCGGAGGCGGCCATGTATCGAGGAATGGGCCCCTCGGTGAGGCCGAAACCAGCTGCATGCAGCAAATTCCGTAACCCCCCCTTTCCCAATCCCCCCCTTTCGCCCGGCCCGAGAATGACGAGACCCAATTGGAAATTTGGCGCGAGCTCCCGCTGCAGACATCCCACGAAAACTGGACCGTCAAAAAATCAAAGGACGCGCTCGTCAAAAAAAACGTGGGCAGACCCGAGTTCCGGATTACTCGAGTCGTACGTTTACCCGAGAAGTAAGCAGGTGCCCGCCCCACGCTTTTTTGCCATGCGCGCGAGCCGGCATTCTGGACGTCGGCTTGCAAAGGCGGAAGCGGGCAACGCAGGGCTTCGGGGCCCCTCTGGGGCCCAACCCGGCGCGTTCTTCCAAAACGCCGACCGCGACATCCCCAGTGTGATTCCAAATGGTCTAAATTTCGGCCAGCGCCCAGATGCGTGAATGCACTTCTGTGCCCTTCCAATATGGGCGACTGCGGAAACTCCGAACCCAAAAACGTTTTCATCTCTCGGGGGCGCATGTATTACTTCCGCCATCTTCCGCCGGCCGTCCGCCGCCTTCCGCTGGCGGAGGCGGCCTCGTTTTACTTCCGCCGACCTTCCGCCGCGGAAGATATGGCAACTCCTTCGATCCTCGAAGGCAAGGCCCTCTTTGAAACGCCCCATAGGTGTGCCCTCTTTGACACGTGCCCGTGCGGCCTTTTCAGGCCCAACGGGAGAATGCAGAAACCTTACCACGTCGCGAGCGGGCGTGCCA